AAGGTACTGTTTAATACAGGGAACACCCCCTATTTCTAAAAAATGTGGTTAGCCATTAAATGATTCTCTTCCAGATATAATGGTCCTCGTTGTCAACAAACCTCTCGAAGCTTCCGGGGTTACGGTTGGGCTTGGTATCCAGCTCTAGACATGTGCGACAAAAGTCATCTTCACTTTGAATTTATAACGAGAAAAGACGATGGCTTGTTGCTGTACAATGGGCCTATTGTACCACCAGAAAAGGACGAAGTGATGGTTTCCGACTACATTGCAGTGGAGCTTGAAAGAGGCTATCCCAGATTATTGCTAGATTTCGGATCGGGAACCTTAGAAATGAGGGTGAAGCCCAATAAATCGTTGAATGATGGTGAATGGCATCGACTGGATATATTCTGGGACACTGAAAACGTGCGGATGGTTTTGGATTACTGCAAATCTGCTAATATCAGTAGGTATTCGAAACTGGTAAATTTTCTGGTGGCTAAGTGTTAAATTCGATTTTAGCTGAATTTGAAAATGGCACTCGTCCAGAATTTGATGATAGTAGTTGCCAGGCTCAAGGCACTATTCCTCCATTCAACGAATATCTGAACGTAAATGCGCCTCTCCAGTTGGGAGGTTTATACGTTGAGCAATTCGACCCCACTCATTATCACTGGCAGTACATGCCTGAGGGCAAGAGTTTCGACGGTTGCATCCGAAATCTTTTCCACAATTCCAAGCTCTATGACTTGGCACATCCTGGACTATCCAGACATAGCGAGGCAGGTTGTCCACAAACTGACGAAGTCTGCCATCGATCAGATACAACGTCCGGGTAAGTASCCACATTTTTTTATGCTTTTRCACAGTTATATTTCACGCGACTGGTTTATTTCTGAAATTTAAAAATCGAACTCGTRTGAAATGAAATACTTTACAGTCGTTTCTCARTATWTGCAKTATTAAAGCATATTTGACTTGCTCATTTTTAATTAMATKTATTTCTTATTTTTCCAAAGTCCTTGTTTCTTTAAGACCAAAGCCATTGGCTTCGACCCAAAGGTGTCGATCTAATGTACGACATTTAACAATCGCCAGTAATTTATAATTTTGTAATTTAGCAGTAACTAGACCTGGGTAACTTGGTGAATTTTTAGGGGTTGACGCAGTGCTACGTAAATCGCTTGGTGCGCCAACCCAACGCACCGGTGCAGTAACTCAGATCCGTTGCTGGGAAAATGTTGRAGACTTTTTTTTACTTGTTTTCAAATTTATTTTAAGGGCCATTTATTAATAATATTTTTAAAWTWTTTTCAATATTTCAGAATTTTCCAGTTTTAGCGAAGTTACTCTTTCTTCTAAATGCTCAATTTTCTAAACTTTTACTTAAAAACGCCGACAAACTTAAGGTATTTTCCTTGAAAAATTATGAAATAAATTTCGAATCCTTGGTCGCATTAAAAAAGTCTCCAGCGTCGAATTTGGAACAAAAATCAAATAATTTTCTCCCAAGAAACATATAGAATAAGCAAAAGCTTATTACAGATTATTCAGAAATCTCGTCATCTCGATTCGTCCGAAGACTGTAGAGTTTGTTGCAAAAAATTTGTTTTTTTGGAATTTTACTTAAAAATAATGAGGATATGGAGGCTTTTACGCCAAAAATTACAAGGTAAATTTATGGATTTTAAAATTTTTACAAAAACGTTTTTCAGCGTCGAATTTGATACAAAAACGAAAATAAATGCTTTCCATTTTTTCCCGAAAATCATTAATCCTCCAAAACCGATCACAAAACGAAAAGTTTCTTCTTTTCTGACAATAATGGGGTCTTTTCAGCCAAAAATGACAAAATTAATTTGGTTGAAAATTCGCCTTATTCATCGGTTTGCAGGGAACTTTAAAAAACCCTTTTTATCTTCGAATTTGGTACAAAAAATAAATAATTTTATTCAGTTTTTACCGAAAGTAATTAAGATTATCTTGAAAAACGACCAGAGAGCAAAAGTGTACAAAAATGTATTTGGAAAATTCGCCGCCCTTATCGCTCTGAAGATTTTTAAAGTTCCTTTAAATTTTCAGTCTATTCTAGTGTTAACAAAGTTTCTATTAAGCAATTCTTTCTACGCAAAAATCGCATTATTTTTTAGTTAAAATACTTGACGATCCTCAGGTATTTTCTGTGAAAAATTATAAGATACATTTTATTACACTGGCCACTAACACACAACACAGGCTCTAATTATTGGCAAAACTCTTAAATAATTTTGGATCTTTTTCCCAACATATTTCCCCGAACTGAAAAAGCGAAAGTTTATAATCATTTAATTGGAAAACTGTTCGAAACTATGTTGTCTTCACTTTTAGGTCAATTTTTCTCAACAACACTGTCTAAACAGAAAAACCACGTTTTTCCTAACATTTTACTGTAAATTAATGGCAAACTGAATCTTTTATGCAAAAAAATTAAGAGATCTATTTTACAAGAAAACTCGTCGACTTTCGTTGAACTCAGTTCTAGAAAATATGGTAAATCTAGATGACTTTTTTTAGTTGTTTGAATAAAGTCAACGTTACTCAGAAAAAAATGTTGATGAAATGAGATGTGAAAATTCYAGTCTCAACAACTMAACACAGTGTTACCCAGGCYTACCGACAACTCTGATAGCGTTCTTAAAAGTGACTCACATAAACGTATGAAACCTATTTTTTAGACCTTAACATTAATCTGAGCGATTTAGTGACRCAAATTWAAAATTTTGCTCGGAATTCCCCGGGAATGAAAAAAATYAAWTGTGTGATACTAACTTAATCAAGTTAGTTTAGTTGGAAATCTCACGTCAACTTATATATGAAATTTARAAATTAAAAGAGCAAACGAACTGTAAAATACGATACATCAGTTAGATTAAATTTACAGATATCACAATTCTTGTGTTAATTGTTGGTGTCACAACCAGTTTATTATGAAACATTATATATTATTTCGTTGATTTTTGCTAAATATAAAAATACAAGAGGTAATCGGTTTTTTGTATATAAGTGTCTAATGATATAAAAAATCGTAAATAACCTTCTTCTCTCACAAGTCTTATTTTTTTAGAAGAAAAAACAGATTTTGTGACAAGAAAACTCAAATATACCGGGTCGTTTAATTTGCAGAACCTTTTGAAATCAATGGGTAATAGTAAAATAATATGAACTTGATTTGTAAACTATTCTCAACAATTACTTTGTTGAGGGTATAAAGATTTAAATTCATTGCCATCAAAAGAACACATTTGCATGAAAACGGTGTCAGTGGCACCTGTACAGGCAGACCATGGTTTATTTTTAAAGAAGAAATCGGCACGCTAACGATTTGTCAATTAAACTGAATTTCACCTTTCCTTTTTCATTCAATTTATCTCCCTATTGTTTTGATTTCTATTCAACTCACTATTTTCGCAAAAAAAAAATTATGACTAGCTACATTGGATGATACGATTGAATTATTAAAAAAGAGTTGCAAGACAATTTTAAATAATTAAATTATTAAACTTTTAATAATGGAAACTTAATACCAAATAATTATAATACTCGATCCAATTTGCATATTAACCGTTTAACAGCAACTTTTTTCCTGATGATTCAACCTTTTTGACTAACATTGTGTGGACAGAAAAATAGGAACACAGCTTTTTTATCCAAATGTCTGGAAAACCCATAAGTAAAATTAATTATTCACTTAACAGGAGTGACGTACTGGTTTCTTGTTTGAACAATATCATTCTATCTACTTCTACGGACGTCACTTGCAAAACAAAAATTTATTAACACATATAACCGTTTAACACAGACAGATAATATACATTTGATTTTGTTCCACCAGAAAGGTCGATTTTTTATGAATTTTGCTGGGTCTCTTAAGTTTCTGATGTAATATCGTGACTACTCTGTGTACCCAAATCGTGCGAATTTGTTCCTCACTTTAGAGCTTTTTTATATGTCTACTCAGCATGTTTATCGTATTTCAAATTATTGCAAAGAAGCGCCATTCCAGGTTTGGTTAAATGATGCTTTGAATTGCTTTGACCATAATTCTATATAAAAAAGGTACTTTCGGAAAATGAAACTTTCGGAATTCAACCGCAAGCCACATTTATTTAAAAAAGTAATTTGGAAACCACCGAGCTTTCGCATAAGAACTTCGCGTATTGGAAAGTGAAACGATATCTGTTTTGCAATTCTCCGCCATCTCCAAACCGAACTAGAAAACGCTGGTTTTAAAACTCTCAAAAGATTTGAGCAGTTGGGTTAAAGCGACTATTTTTCTGAAAACCTTCTGAACCCACTCATCATATATTAAAGCTTTCATCTTAATTTTAGTTATTCAATCGCCGACTTTTAATTAGATATCCCGACGTCTGTAATTTATTACTTATTTATATGCTTAACAAATTTTTCTACAATTTTTATTGTGATTTACCATTTTGGGTAATATTTGTGTTTGGTAAGAACGTATTACTTGAATTAAAATTCCGCAAACATTACGTTATAACACGTATATTTTAACGCACTTGCAGTATCAAAAGTGCACATATTTTTTCATTATTTTTTACAATTCACAGAAGAATTTGTCTGAACATAGGTGAAAAGTGCAATGGGATTTGCTTTATTTAAAGAACATAAAGAAGTGAACATTCCTTAGAAAATCTAAATTAAAGTAGGCAGGGAAAGATCCAAACCGGATTTGGACATACTTTGATGTCAAAACGTTGTCTTTTTTTCAGATGTTGGGAACATGGAACGTGCATCGGCAGTATGAATGAAGCAAAATGCCAATGCCATCCAGGATGGACCGGACCCTCATGTGCCATCCCAACCATTCCTACCAGCTTCCGGCCACAATCGTACGTCAAATACGCTCTGAGTTTTGAACCAGATCGTTTCTCCACTCAGATTCAGCTGCGATTTAGAACACGCGAAGTGCACGGCGAATTGTTTCGGGTTTCTGATCAACACAATCGCGAATACGGAATTCTGGAAATCAAAGACGCGCGGTTGTATTTCCGTTACAACCTAAACTCGCTTAGGACAGAAGAAAAAGATATTTGGTTGAGCGCAGTACCGGTTGATGATGGACAATGGCACGTGGCCCGCGTTTCACGATATGGCAGTGCGGCAACGTTGGAGCTTGATGGTGGCGAGGGACGAAGATTTAACGAAACGTTTGACTTTGTCGGTCACCAATGGCTCATGGTCGACAAGCAGGAGGGAGTATACGCTGGCGGCAAGGCCGAGTATACTGGAGTGAGGACTTTCGAGGTGTATGCAGACTATCAGAAAGGTGAGTTTACGTCTTAGTTAGTGACAGAGAGAGAGCATTTTGCGTATCAGTTGTAACGTTCATTGTAAGCTGCTTCTCTAAAGTCTGGTCAACAAATCATGCAAACAATTATGGCAATTTTGCACATTTTTCAAACACTTTCATGCAAACTCTAATACTCAATTAATTTCAGATACAGCAACTTTAAAACGTGAATAGTCTCTTTTTGACTCACTTATTTTCAACAAATATGCTCTAACTAAAAAATTGAAGGACGATTTTGTTAAGTGCTGTTATCCAGTTGCAATTTTCAATGTAATGGCATGTTGTTTGAAATTGGGGCAAAAATGGAAATCAACCGCAACCTGAAACATTGTTTTGGGTCAAATTCATAGTCACTTTAACATAAAAACTATAATTATCGCATTCAACTTAATGTTTAACGGAAATTGCGTGCTTATCCGACCAACCACCAAAATGCGGTATTATCTGGAACCTCAGATTTAACAGATGCATGATTGAATGATAGATGATTATGAAAGCTGCTTTACCGGCTCGGTAATCTATTTGATATATATGAGCAGCATCAACAGCAAAATAACAAATGTCACTAAAATAACAGCGTTGAAAATTTTAATTAAAAAATTCATAAGAATCTAAGATGGTAATTACAAGAAAACATAATGAAACATTCATGATAACCACACCGCAAATGAGGGGAATATCTGGTAGTAAAATTATAGTAAGGGGAAGTATATTTGTTTGACTTGCAAATACGGCCATTTTTCGTGTTTTTGGTGATAATAAGTGGTAATCGTGATATTAATACAGTAGTACATTTAAAAACATGGTGAGAAGTGGTTTCATTTGCAGGAAAATCGGCTTGAATTTTCCTAACCTGCACTGTCTTGCGCGATTATAAACAGGGACTAGTTATATAAAGGAACTTTTGATATAAAGAAACTTCTCATGCACGGCGGCAATTTTTTATTCGTGACATTGATATTTGCAAATATCTTCCACTTAATCATGGAAAGGCTCGCGCTTCAACAAAGTTTACAAATAATCAAAATTTATTATTAAAAACGAGTTCCGTTACTCAAACTTTACGTGCTCCAATTTGTGGTCGTTACAACCGACCAGATAAAAGAACAGTCGAACGTTTAGTGATAAAGTTCAAAACAAAATTTACATTTCATGATGTTACAATGCCAGTGAGACAAATATATGCAAGAGATGAAATAAATATTGCTGCTGTACGTGAAAATGTTCGTAGATCAAAACTTATCGATATCTCATCATTCGCAAGAGCAATCTCCGAATTTTACGAAAAGAACTTGGGTTTCATTCATACAAGAACTCTTCTTCTTTTTTTCTTCTTTTCTTCTTTTCTTCCAAGAACTCAAAGCAACTGATCATTTAAAGAGACGTGAATTCAGTAGTTGGTGCTTAGAAAAGATCGAAAATTATCCAGATTTTCATAAGAAAATTATTCTCCGCTATTAAGCTCATTTTCGGTCAAACGGCTATGTGAACAAGCAGAATTGTCGGGTCTGGAGTGGCGACAAACCGGAAAAATATCAAGAACTGCCACTACACCCTGAAAACTGACTGGGTGGTGTCGATTTTATGCTGAAGGAGTTACTGGTCCATATTTTTTTTTTCAACGAAGCTCATCTTTCTGAAACTGTCAACAGAAATCGTTATCGTTCAATGTTGACTGATATTTCTTATGGCCTGAAGAATTTAATGTTGCTCCCAAACAAATCGGGATATATGAATGACTAGCTTTATCTATTTATTAATGTCTTTGTCTGGATCCAATTAAATTTCAAGTAAATATTATAAAATTTTGCCAACATTTGGAACTAAATTTAATACGATTTTCACTTAACACAGTCGTAACTGGTTTACTAATCACTGATTGTTACTCTAAAGCACTCCAACTGCCAATCATCACGCTTTGATCAGCCGACTCTGAATTTCATTAAAATTTCAAGCATGTGTGAAATTCCCGAATAATTTAGCTGTGCTAAATAGGAAAATCTAAGGGAATGTGATTTATATTACGAAATTAATTGGCTCTCCGACTTTATTAAAGCTTTGACAAATCGATTATTTTGCCGCTTAATGTATTGCTGATATTTAATTATATTTTTTATTATCTTCAACTCGGCTATTGGCATGCATACAAGCCTTGCTTTAAGGTGTTTAGATGCGCATATCTTAATAAAATGGAAAAATTTTGTGTTTATAGCGATCACGCAGTTAATCAGTCTTTTTCAATAATGACTGGAGGGCCAATCCCTAAAAAAATATATATTTTCAAAACGTATTTTTTACGCACAATAATGCATCCGGTTTCCCACAAAGTTTTGTTCCAAAAACCATTCTCTCTATTCAAATGGAAAATTTATCCAAATTTCCTAATTTCTCGTTCGCAATTTTTACATTCTTACATTATAAAAGGTAGTATAAATCTGGGCAAATAGGTCAAGGTATGTTTCAGTTAGAAACCGAATATGGCTTGAACGATTAAATTCGCAATACGTGTGTCGGTAAAGATGCGAACATGAAAAACTTGTTGRTTTTAACTAGTTACAACTACAGTCTCCACTTTCCTAAAAAAACYYTTTACAAGAAATCAAAATTAAAGTATTAAATTTAAAGAACAATACAGCAGACGTTTAACATCCATTATATGGCTATGTTTAATTTAATTTGTGYGTTCGGATAGTCGTAACTTTATATTCTGTTATATATATTTTTTATATTTTTGAACAACTCCTASCCGAAATGAATATTTAAGATTAACTAAATGGATATAATTGAYTAATTTGTTCTTACATTTTATTTAAAACGGGCCCACTCACTGATTGTATTGTGCTTGTGCTTATGTATGAATAAGCGCCCAGAAAATTTTCAACTTTGCTAAGATGAGAGTCATTYCTCATAGCTAGAATTCCAGACTTTTCTCAATTGCTGCAATCATCATGAGTATTCACAAYTGCGGCACGCAAAAATAKAATTCGTAGAAATATATTTCATGAGGTAAAAATGTAATACCTACTTCAYTTATCAACACAAAATATGATTTATGTAAATTTTAATGTATCGGACTAATGAAAACACTAAATGCAAAAAATAAATAAATTTTTTCCCATTTTCTTTAGGGACAGACAGAAAGAGAGGCAGTATTTTTAGATTACTAAAAACGTCGCAAGTAAAAGTAACTTGCAAGTGATTTTTTCTGTAACTTCAAAGTTTATTGCCAGGTATTTTTGATAAAATGCGGCTTTTTGTTCAAACCAGCTTTGATCAAATTTCTCCTAAAAGAATGCCTGTCTGTCCACGGCTCTGTCTRTTTTATTTCAATAATAATTTCTCATTATTTTTTAAACTTTTTTAAGGCTTTTCTGCTCATCTTTGACTGACTCTCTTCTAGTGTCTTGTGCTAGATATGCATATATTAATATGAAAATCTTGCATGTTTTTTGGTTCACTATAATTTGATACATCATGTATGTTGMTTTTGTTGTATCGATCAAAACGAATTTAACTAATTAATTAATCGCCATGGATATTTGTAGGTAAAAATCATTCWTATCGAACAATGKTGCCGTATTATAATTTCAGAATRCTTAKKCATACTGATAGTAATCTCGTTTGAACATTTTTACTAAAAAAACGCATGCATTTAGAACTAATTTCGGAAACTATCAGAAATATACTGGAAACTCCGAAAAATACACACTTTTCTGTTTTTATTTCATTAACATTTATGAAACACGACCTGACCCCATTTTATCTTCATGACAATACACATATTATAACGGATTCAGTGGGTTAGGAAATTAAGCTCGGAAAAAGGCCAATCCATTATTCTACATCACATCCTTTATCGCAACGTAACCGAAGGATTGCGTGTCAGAATTATCCACTAAAATTAAATTTTCTACTCGCCATCCTGAAAATTTGTCGTATGTCGGGAGGCATTAGTCTTTCCATTCTTCGCACAGCCGTTTTTACTACCTGAAAGCGCATTACCGTTCCTTTGGGGACATTTTGCCAAATATATCATTCCGTCTTTCCATTAATTTTTGAAACATTGTGTTCACTTAATAGACGCCTATCAAAATTTGCTCGTGGTAAATTGGTGGTTAATATAAAAAATTTAGAGTAATGCGTGTATTTTACGCTTCTATTCTTCTATTTAAAACTTTATATTCCATTTGAATAACCGTAACACTGTACGGTTATTTTTCTTATTACCAAAAATTGCGTTTGCTAAATAAGCTCTGATTCACTGTTAATATAGGAACATTTGATTGAACAAAACTGATTGGTCGGAAACATTCTATTTAACTAAACCTAATTAAATTTGGTAAACCAAACAAAACCCCAGAGCACCTCATTGTTAAAATAGTTTCAAACAGTATATATTTAAAATATGCAACAATAATAATTATGGTATTGCTTTGGTTTCAGTAAAAGGATATAAACTAATTTTAAATTAAAATTGGATTTAATTCAATATTTATTATATTATTGTTTTTTCGTAAACTGACCAACAAGAGCTGTTTAAGGAAATAAGCAAAACCAAAGCTATGCTGAGGTGTAAATATCTGAAATAAAGACACAACATTTTTTTACCATTTTTAAATGCGGGTTTAAAATGAACCTGGATTTTCTATTCTATGGCAGATTTTAATCAGTTTTCAGCAAATTTAAACACTATGTTACCGGCAATGTGCTAAATGCCTAGGCATTCTGCAAACTGACTAACTCGCTAGGCATTTTGCAGATTCGCTACAACTTTAAGCAATCTGCACATTGACTGCGGTATTTTAGGCAATCTGCAAAATGCTGTTGACACTAGTCAATCTGAGCGTTGGATTTGTTTAATCTTCACATTGACTAGACAATGTGCATAAACCTGTTGCTACAAAACTGTGCAGGTTAGTTTTGTAACGGAACTTTGTTGTTTAGTTTTACAAGGAAAGTTTACTGTTTAGTGCCCTAAGTAGCAAACAACTTTGTGAAATTTACCGCGTTTACATTGCTGCCTATTGATTATTAATTTGTTCTGATTCCTGTCCTATTAGCGTCATGCAAAAAAAATATTTTTCGGTAGTTTGGTATTCGGGTTTACATATTATTGAGTTTAAAATGAAAGCCAGAAAAAGTATGAAACAACATACAGGATTTTTGAGAAACGGTGTGCTGGAATTATGTAAATGTTGTTAATAAAAACAAACTGATGGCATAATTTTGTGAGTACAAATATTAAAATAACTTGCGCGGTTATGGAGCTAATAATGTATGCTTTCATACTTATTATAATATTAGCGTTAAATAATCTTATAACATTAAATTCCTTTGTATTTGGTAAAACAATATATTATCTTCTCATTAAATAAATAATTAAAATAATATACAATAATAAATTTGGTTTCTTCAAAAAGATGTCTCTCTTTCCGCTTGCTATGACCTTATCACTGAACAACAAAGTTTGGCATAATCGCCACTTGGCAGAAAGTACAGCAATTTTGCTGCATGAGGTAGTATGCACATTGTCTAGTCAATGTGAAGATTAAAAAACATATGTATATGTGACACTCACATTGACTAACGCGTACGGCATTTTGCGGATTGCCTAAAGTAGTAGCGATTCTGCAAAATGCCTAGCGAGTTGGTTAGTTTGCAGAATGCCTAAGCATTTCGCACATTGCCGGATTTTGTGCTTTGCCGGTAACAACTGTAATAAACTTTGCTAACGAACGTGTGAACTCAAATGTTATTTTCTTCAGATCTTTCAATTTTATTGAAGAATGTTAACTTTTAAGCATTATGTTGTGTCAAATAGTTAACTATTTCAATGAATTATTGTGTTATTAACTGTGTCTCTTATTTACAGTAAATTGTCTTTGCTAATTGCATATTATTTAATGTCAACATAAAATTAGCAAGAGCCAATTCCCCTTTGTTTATTGCTATTTGTTTTTCATTAATGTCAATATGATTTTGATTATTGTCAATTTGCATTTAACTTATGAACATGTTTTTCCAATTAGGTTCAGACTATTGCCTTGTTGATCCTGATAAACATCAATTTTAACTTGAAAAAATAACGAAGTTTATTTTGTGGAAACAGGAGTAGAAAATTAAAGCATGGATTAAGAACATAGTGTTATACGTTATCAACACGAATGTCTGTGTGTCTTTGTGGAACATAGGACACTGGTGAAAAACCTGTTTAAGCACCAACAGAAACTGTTCGATAAAAGCAACTAAAAATTATTTTATTACAAATTCATGAAAATAATTTAAAATGTTTGAATAATGTGTTGCACTCTAAACGAGACGACATCATTTGATAATTGCAAATCAAAATTAATTCCTGGGTTTCAGTCATTTATTGTCTCTATTTATCAATTAAAATACGTTTCGGTGTATTTTTCCACCATCATCAGTTTTTCTAAAATAACAGATAGTTAAAAAAAAATTTCATTAATTTAAAAAACAATCACAGTTCGTCAACAGCCTCATCATATCACACACTAAAATACATCACAATTGCAACATTTTAAAACATTCTAAAATTAATTAGGTCTAACAGGTGATTAGTCAGGACAGTTCAGATACTTTATAAGTATCGGAACAAAGAATTCTAATTCTAATTCTCTTCCCAAATTTGATTGTCCTGACTAATCACCTGTTAGGCCTAATTAATTTTAGAATGTTTTAAAGTGTTGCAATTGTGATGTATTTTAGTGT